AACTTTAAATGGTTTGTTGTTTTTGTGATCATGTGTGAAGTATTGATAGTTTTTTTCCTGCAAAACCGCAATCACTTTGTTATATGTTGTTATTGTGTTACACAAAATTTTTAAACCAATTGATATTTTTTTAACTAAGAAATCATCAATCTTTCTATCATTAAGCAAGTTGATTATAATATCACTGTTTTTAGTTAAAACTTTAATGGGTGAAATTTTATTATTTTGGCCGCTTTGGGGCTGTTCACTGTCCATGTCAGTTATTGAATTGTCATCATCATTGTCTAAGAGTTGTAAGGGAGTCCACCGGTTTCGTCTGGTCCCAGTTTTAGGAATTTTAGATGAAGACATGCCGACTTCATCATCCAAGCAATGGGACAGATTTCGTTTTGGAATTTTTTTTATTAACGAGTAAGCAACTTCTAGAGAGCGATAGTTAGTTTGCACGTCTGACAATTGCGAAAGCCTAAGCAAGACTGAGGGCTGTATTTATGTAGTTTTACGAAGCTGTCTTACCTCCTTATTGTACCATGCTCCCATGGTACAATGATATCAAGGTAGGGCTATGATACCATATGATTTTAATTTTTTTATTTTCTTGGCCTAATATGTCATCTTTATTTGTTTATGTATGTGTTTTCTTTTCAATAACAAAAAAATTGTTCAGAAAACATTCAAATTCTGGTGTTTTAAAATGTTCATTTCAATGCATGCATAGACAAAATCTAGAGTTTTTGTAGCGAAATAATCCTTTAGAGATATATAGTACATGATTTTGAAATGAAGTGTTGACCTTTCATTCAGTTATCGCAGTTTTCAATTATTTATTCAAAATAAATGGAACAAGTTGTTTGATTTTACGAGATGCGCATTAAAAGCTACGAGATGCGCATTAAAGCTATTCGCCAGTTATGCCATGGAATTGAAAGATAGAACTGTTTAGATCACATTTTTGATAGAAAATCCCGGCATTTCATTCATTTTGCGCGCTATTTAACCCATTTTAAAAATGCGGAAAAATATGAAAAAAAAAATGAATACAACTTGTTGCATATAATTTTGAATGATGCGGGCATAGCCACAGGGCTGTATTTATGTAGTTTTACGAAGCTGTCTTACCTCCTTATTGTACCATGCTCCCATGGTACAATGATATCAAGGTAGGGCTATGATACCATATGATTTTAATTTTTTTATTTTCTTGGCCTAATATGTCATCTTTATTTGTTTATGTATGTGTTTTCTTTTCAATAACAAAAAAATTGTTCAGAAAACATTCAAATTCTGGTGTTTTAAAATGTTCATTTCAATGCATGCATAGACAAAATCTAGAGTTTTTGTAGCGAAATAATCCTTTAGAGATATATAGTACATGATTTTGAAATGAAGTGTTGACCTTTCATTCAGTTATCGCAGTTTTCAATTATTTATTCAAAATAAATGGAACAAGTTGTTTGATTTTATATTGTTTTGATACTAATTCTGACATTACAAGCCAGACAGGTAGACCTCTATACTTGCAATTTTTTCAAAGTTGACCTACCTTCTCTTCATTGTACCATGCATGCTCCCAAGTATGGTAGAAAAATACAGGTACATGTCGTAGCTTCCAAACCAACTTTGGAATTAACATTTTTTAATGAAATGAAAAATTATTCAAAATTGTAAAAATTGTTAAAAAATGCAAATCATAACAACTACCGATTGGTATCGTATGATGTCAAAAAAAATTACAAAATTAGTAGTAGTAGGTTCTGGAACAGAGTATTTGTATGCGTAAACAAACATCACTGAGCAGCATTTATATCATCCTAAAGGCTGTATGATTTTTACACATGTAGTGTCAACATTTCCATATGCATCGTGTGTATGTACTTTTTCGATCCAGCGAGCCCTTTTTTCGTAGAAAAAATATAATTTAATTGAGAGTGATGTTTTTTGTGAAAATATACGCAGTTATCTATAAAGTACCATATTTTTTTTAGAAAATACAATATAATAACATTGTAATCAAAAGAAATAAAAATGACATATAAAGTGTGTGATAGCAAGAATTATGAGTCATATGTATAAAATGACAATTTTGACATACACACGGGAATACACATGGATAATAAAAGTTACAACACATATGTAAAAGCTGATACCAGCTTAAGGGTGAACCAACTGGATATATAAAACCAAGTTCTGTACTTAATCCTCAGGATTTCCTGATAGAAAATTTGATATTTTCTTTTACTTTCCCTAGTACGGCACAACCCAATTTGTGGGTATTGATCACACTAATCTCCTTTTTAATTGTTCAACCCGAAATCAACTGAAATCTTTTTTTAATTACACACATCATTTGAAGCTGGCATGTTGTCACTGGAAGCATTCATTGTATGCAGCACAGCATTCAGGCAACTAGTTTGAATCCATTGTTGCACAGACCATAAAGAAATCTGTCGATGGTAATTTCTGTTACTTCATTCAACATTTCTGTTGTTGGTTTTCTTCATCTCTTTGTCTAGAGCGGTATTGAGTAAATAAAATGACGTAAAAGTTTTGTTGTTTGACTTGTTTATTGCATGTTCGGACTGGTTTACAATGGATAGGAAAATATGATATACTCTCCACAGAAAGCCAAGAAGATTTCCATTAATCTACGAGTGTATTTTCTTGATCTTTTCGCCTCTTTCTATCAACTTCCAAGGACAATAAACATAACTGCTTCAAATGTTCGGGAAAACACCACAAAAGAACCGAAGAACATTGTCCCAAGAATTATTTCGACAATAAGGCTGGAAATACATAAAGAGCATATTTGTCTGGCTTAAGTCATCGGCTGGCTTCTTCGTAAATGAACAAAGGAGTTTTAGGTTGACCTAGTTCGATTTTAGCCCTAGGCTCCTTTGTTCATTTCCGAAGAAGTCAGCCGATGACTTAAGCCAGCCAAATAAGCGCTTTATGTATTCCCACCTTAAGTTGTTGTCAAAGGTAAAAAAATTTTAACATATGATTATAAGCATGGTACAATAAAGAGGTAGAACAGCTTCGTAAAACTACAGAAATACAACCCTTAGGCTATGCCCGCTTCCTGTCAGACTCATTCAATATTATATACAACAAGTTGTTTTCATTTTTTTTTTATATTTTCCCTCATATTTAAAATTAACTAATGAAAATGAATGAAATGCCTGTTTTTTCTCTCAAAAGTTTCATCCAACTATTCAATCTTTCAATTTCATGGCTAAACGGTTAAAAGTTTTAATGTGCGAGCCCCAATGTACGTGTCTTCCAATCGTTAGTTTTGAAAATATTTTGTTTTCATTTTTCAAAATGATAAATACATACACAAAATTGACAGAAATCGGGCACACTTAGAAAAAAATTGTAATCAGCTGGTAGCTTTACCTTACCTTTTTATTGTACCATGATTACAAGTATACCATGGTAGAAGAATTCAGGTAGATGCATCAACGTTTGGGAAAATTGATGTGTCAAAATTTTTAAAATGTTTTGTCAAAAATAAGTAAATTTTTCTAGGTTTTCTTATGCGACGCAAATCGGAGGTTGTTATAATATGCATTTTCAATTTTGAAGTCTTCACATGGTATATTTTGTGACATATCATAAAGGGATACCAGAGCCGCCCCTGGAATCCTGCCGCCATTTCCCCTCATGATTTGGCATTAATATGCAAAGCTGCTTATGTACCCTCACCTTAACATATGATACATATTTTAAAATTTCATTGATAACATCCAACTCTCTAAATTTGTAATAAAGATTTCCTCCTTCAAGTTGTACGCACAACTTGTGTTTTGTGACAAACATATGAACATGGTTATACTTTGGAATCATGGTAGAAGAATATAGGTAGACTCATCGACGCAGCTGCTGGGACAATGAACTGTCAAACCAATTTTGGAATTGAAAATGTTGAATGAAAAATTATTTAAATTTGTAAAACTTGTTAGAAAACGCGTATTATAATAACCTCCGAATGACGTCGTATAAGAAAACATATAAAAATCTACTTATATTTGAAAAGAAATTTAAAAATTTTTGACATATCAATGCTCCCAAGCGTTGATGCATCTACCTGTATTTTTCTACCATGTTTGGAATCTATATTGCATAAAAACGAACCGTAAAAATAGAATAAAGAAAATGTGAATCCTACAATAAGTAAAATTATCATTTTACTTTTACCGATAAAGTGGCCCGAATGGATGTTTTTAGTGTATTTATTGCAATAGACACATACTTATGTAAAACAAAACAGAATTGTTCATTATAAATGCGAAAAATCCAGACGTCTTAATTTTTTAATTTTACAAAAAATATGCGTAATAGTTTCGGAATTCATTTTAAAATATTTTGAAAATGACAGAGAGTTCCAAAACAAAAAAGGGTTGCCATTACCAATTTGTTCTATTACTCATAATATATTTTTGGTGGCGAGTTTTCGCAAGTGTTATATTTCACTTTTGACAAAATAAAAATATTTATTTTGTATTTCAAATTCAAACATTTTGTTTTGATAGCAAAAGTACGGTACGGGCCCAATAAATAAATGAAATTTGTGCGCCTGAGCATATGCTTTAAAATGCTTATACGTAGTGAAATTTATTTAAATAATTATTTCCCGTTATATTCGGATCTGTTCCTAACATGGCAGAAGAATACAGGTAGATGCATCAACGCTTGGGAGCATTGATATGTCAAAAAAATTTAAATGTTTTTTCAAATATAAGTAGATTTTTATATATTTTCTTATACTACGTCATTCGGAGGCTTTTATAATTCGCGTTTTTCAACAATTTTTACACATTTAAATAGTTTTTCATTCAACATTTTCAATTCCAAAATGGGTTTGACAGTTCATTGTCCCAGCAGCTGTGTCGACGCGCCTACCTATATTTTTCTACCATGGTTCCTACCATAAACTTAAATAGTTTGGTATCGTTTTTTCAAATAAATTTGAAAAAAAAAAACGTTTTTTTCTCTTCCAGATGCACGAAATGCAACGCAAAGAAGTCTTGAATATAAAGTCGAATGCTTGGAGGATATAGTGCGATTTTATCGAGATCCCAATCGGCCTGTACACAAAATCTGGACTAGCTCAGAGTGTTCAAAATATTATTTGTGTTTGGAGGGAGAAGTATTCAATTTTAAATGTTCCGAGGGATTGTTGTTCGATGTGGTTAGGCAAATATGTGATTTCAAACAAAATGTGGATAATTGTGATATAACAGCGGGTGAGTCTTCAAATGACTTAACACTTTATGATAACAATTTATGTGAGAATGAATTTCATAGAAACACCCGTGCCAAAACCTCTGCTTGACGAAGCCGATTGCCAAGATAATCAATGGGCCTGCGGTGATGGCACTTGCCTACCCTCGGAATATTTCTGTGATGGCTCTGTCGACTGTCCCGATGAATCCGATGAGGGTTGGTGTGATGCTGATAATGATCCAAATGCTGCAGAATCATGTGATCCGAAAAATTGCCACTTGCCCGATTGTCATTGTTCGAAAGATGGTACAATAATTCCGGGTCGCCTTGAGGCACATATGGTGCCACAAATGATATTGTTGACATTCGATGATGCGGTAAATTTTGAAAATTGGGATTTGTTTTCAAAGGTGCTGTTTAAAGGTCAACGACGCAATCCCAATGGCTGTCCAATCAGGGCCACCTTCTTTGTATCACATCCATTTACCAACTATCAGTATATACAGAAGTTGTGGAATGATGGTCATGAAATTGCCGTTCATTCAGTAACGTATGTATTGAAGAGAGAATGCCAATTATGCAAGAATTTCTTTTAAAATTTTATCATTTTCAATAGGCATCGTGGTCCCGAAATGTTTTGGTCCCACAATGCAACCATTGAAGACTGGTTCGATGAGATGGTGGGCCAGGCGAACATATTGAATCGTTTTGCCAGTGTTCGCATGGAAGAGATTCGTGGCATGAGAGTACCCTTTCTGCGTGTTGGATGGAATCGACAATTCTTAATGATGAAAGAATTTGGTTTTGTCTATGACTCTTCAATGGTGGCTCCATTTTCTAATCCACCCTTATGGCCGTATACAATGGATTATAAAATGCCACACAATTGTATTGGTAACAAACAGAATTGTCCGTCACGTAGTTATCCAGGCATATGGGAAATGGTCATCAATCAATTGGAAGTTGGTGAATACACATGTACAATGGTGGACAGCTGTCCACCTCATTTGTCGGGTGATGATATCTATCGCATGCTGACACATAATTTCAAACGACATTATCTTTCAAATCGTGCACCTTTGGGTTTATACTTCCATGCCAATTGGTTTAAGAAAACTGAATATTTAAATGCATTTATGGTAAGTTCAAAATTGAAAGAGACACCAAATCAATTAGCATAAAATCGAAATAGATTTTCGGTCACATTTGTTTGGGAGGTTTTAAAAATTAAAAACTAGTTGGGGGACATAATAGGATCATTTACATCCTTCGCCAAGCAATTTCTAAACCCATTTTCCCTCTTTACAGAAATTCTTAGATGATTTACAAAAACTACCCGATGTTTATTTCGTTACCAATCAACAAGCCATACAATGGATGCGTACGCCAACATCCAGCAATATGCTACATCAATTCGAGCCATGGTCATGCAAACCAAAACACTTGGAACCAAGTGAAAAAGTATGCAATCTACCCAACATGTGTAAACTGAGAAGTAGGGTATTGCAACAGGATCGTTATCTATACACATGTAAAGAGTGTCCACCACAATATCCGTGGATACGCAATGAATTTGGTTTAGATTAAATATTTATGCCTACACGTAAAATATTAAAATACATCTAACTTAACCATAGTTTTGTAAGGCCATTAAATATCGTTAAAAATAATTATTTATTAACATCTTATTCCATATCTTTTTGTTAAATAAAAAAAACTTATTTAAAATCCAAAATACATTATTTGCCTGAATTAATAGTAAAACACAATTATTGTGTTATAAATGGATTTGGTATAGCCTCAACACCATCCTGCGGACATATCAACACCAAGGCTGTGCCACGACAAACAACAAGTCCCAGATTTCTTGTTTCTTCCGAAGGCTTGAACGGTTCATCGGGATCTCGCAGGTATTCGATTGTGTTGTCCAGCACAAGATTAAGTAAAGCATCATAACCTTTTAAAATGCCAGATGCTTCGCGTCCACCGGCAAATTTGACTCGTATTTGTTTTTCCAAATATTTGGACAAATCTAAAATTGATTCTTTGCGGCGTTTCTCTTTGCCATCATTACCCTAGGAAAAAATTAGATTAACATTGGATTTATCCAGGGAAAACAATTCAGGTGACTTACCTTATTCTTATCTGCCATTATTGCTTGAGTTTTTGTCTTATATTAGTTTATATATTTAGTTTATATATTTAAAAGAAACTTGCGTGCCAAAAACGTTTTGTTTGGTGTTGTCAAGGTAGATCTAACAGGTAACCGCATCGGCGAATTGCTACAACAAAGCAACTTTTGTGGTCCCCTCAAATGTCAAAATTGGCATCTAAGGCGAAAAACATAGATTCGCCATGACATTTAAAGGTTGCGGCAAATTTGTTTCAACCAATCAGAAACGAGGTGTTTGTTTACATTTTATTTTGTGTGTATTAATTAATTGTAGCATTGCCATAATTTTTAAACCAAGAAACTTATAATGACTATATTTTACTGGTTGAAACCGAATGTTTTCTGGAACTGCAAATGACAAGAGTCGAATTCTTGCACTACTTCCCGTGATGTGCTATGGGAATCTTAGATGTTGAGGCTAACTTAATTCTTAAAGCTGCACTCCATTCTAACCTCCTTCCTTCATTTTCTTTTAATTTTTTTACTGGTTTCACTCTTAACTTGCTATTATTTGAAATATTATAAAAATGCACTTTTAGGGAAGACAACATAAGGTGTGTCTGGTTACTTTTCCAGCAGGAATTTTCTTTCTGAGAGAAAAGGTAGTTTTATTCTCTTTTGCAAGGAAAATGCGAAAAGTAAACAGTCGGTATTCCTGCAGAAGCTTGCAACTAATCAGCTGAATTTTCAAAACAAACCAATTTGTCCCCCATAAGGAGAATTAAAACAAAGGAAGCAGTACTAATTCTACAAGTTTTTTAAATAAAAATGTTGGAAATAGTCTTTTATTTCCTTATTACATATTAATATTTACGTTTTCCACATTTTTTAAAGTTGTTCTCCAAAAACAATTAGTCTTTAAAATTCCAAAAAAATATTTTCAAATTAAAAGCACAAAAATAAATAAACAAACCATAGAAAACATCTGATTGAATGTCGATAAATGAGAAGAATAAGAGTTGCAAGTGATTGCAAGAAGAAATTTGTCCAGCAAGAATTTGAAACTCTCACTGAAAGAACTGTCAAAATTTCTCTCTTTTGCAGAACTGTCGAGTTAACAGATGACTTCCAGTAACAATTTGTAACAATTGTTACAAATTTTAGGGTAACCAGACACACCTATAAACAGATTTGTTGTTGCATTCATTTAGGGCGAATTCTTCATTACAACAATTTGTTTTGACATTTAATGGTGCCGTCAGCTGGGCTGATGCGATTACATAGTACATCTACCTTGGGTGTTGTGACGTTGGCAGAAAACGAGGGCGAATGAGTTCCCAGACGCCGGCGGCCTAACGAGCAATTGGTGATCGGCGATGAAAATGTAAAGTGATTTCACATACATATTTCATGTCAAATATTCAGGATTATATGTGGGAGCAGAGATTGGACAACTTATTAATTTCTCTTCTCAACCGTATAAAAAACAATTTTCTTATCATATTTTTACGACACTTGTCGCTGTCTAAATACAATATCAATGTGTTTGACGCCGTCATTTTAAATTAAGTGAACGACGATGTCTAGAAACATCTGTTGTATCTACTACGCTTTTAAGCAACCATAAGCATAATACTGTTGTGTCGTTGGAAGGCACTTGCTAAAATTTTCCAAGAAGTTTAGTAAAATATCCAAATAAAAGGTAAATATTTTTAACAATTGACATGGAATAATAAAAATATGATACAATTCCCACCCGTTTGTATGAAAATACTTGCTGTGTCTCATCGGGAAAGGCATTTATGAGCAAACAAATGTTACGTCACATTTTGGATGCCGTTCGCTTCCATACTCTGTAGCATTGATCTATCAGCTGTTGATGGACAATAATTTCCAATAAGATACAATAAAAACATTTTTAGTTATATTTTTCTTTCATATTCCACTTTTAGTTCATCATGCCTATCACCCCATACTTGCAAACTCCCTTCACCGATTTGACCGGTAGCTTGATTAACCATCAAACCTACGATAAATGCGGTGAAATGGAAATGAACATGATGGACTGCTTGGAAGCCTACGGTGCCGACAGGGGTAAGAAAATGTGCAAGGATCTAATTGATGATTACAATGAATGCTTTACCATGCACAAACAAATGGCACGTTTCCATGTAAGTAATTTAAATAAGGAATGATGATATTTAAATATTTTAACATTGTTTACTTTCGTAGGCTATGCGCAAAGAACGTATGCGTCAAGGTACATTTGCTGATCCACCAAGAGTTGATGCTTATTAGATTTATCCGGCATTTCTAAAGGATCACGTAATATGTAAAATATAGTTAAATTATCAACTTTAATATTTGAATGAAATATAACTTGGGAAAATCAGAAGTCTATCTGTCGTGCAATGTATTTGTGTGTAAGTAGGGTTAAACATCGACCGCATATTTTAAGAATGATATTGACCAAATTATCGCAGTGTTAGAAGTTGGTACCCAAATACATTAATTGGAATGTGTCTATATTTGGAAATCACATCACAACATGGTCTGAGAAAGGTGCCTCCAAATCTGACGGGTCTACAAGTAAATGGCAGCAGTGTCAAATTATAGCATCAATATGTTTTATTGGAACAACGTTTGGTTTAATAGTCCGCTAGTGAACTTAACAGATCACTTGTATTGGATTCGGCACTACTTGTTTGATATAGTTTCCAGGGAAACAGTCTGGCTTAAGGCCTAATTCAATGCACCTTTAAGTTGTATAAATACTGACATTGACACCCAACTTCGGTGCTAGCGGAGTATATGGCTATAGCTCTCAAATGTTATTAAAATTGTTCCACTCCAAGAAACATTATAGCACATTGTAGTGCATGGTTTTATGTCTTTGAGCATTTGTCTGATAGTTTTAATGATCTTCATACACCCTTTTGTGGATTCGGTATGACTTGTTTTATTGATATAGTTTTTAGGAAACCGTCTAGCTAAATCGGTGCTAGCGGAGCATAAAGATACAGGTCTTAACTCTAGTTTAGTAAAAACTCTTACATTTTTTTTTAATTTTTCTTGTGGTAGGTATTTTTACCTTATCCGGAAGCCCAGATTTTTAACCGGAACGTCTGGGTTCAAGACCCCGACTAGACCCGGATCCACTTACCCGATATAGGCAACATAGGTATCGTTGAAAAGCTTATGAAAATACCTATACCCCAAATAGGGCCCATTATGAGGGGTCAACCAAATTATTGCTGACACTACGGTGAACTACAGTTGTTGTAAGTAGCCGGCCTTTGGCAGGGGCTTCAGATTTTCTCCTCTAGATATGTCCTACACGGCTAATGCGAACCAACGTTTTCTAAATTTGACAATTTTTTAATGCTGTGTTTGTCCTTTTTATTGTATCATGCGAGAATCTACAAATTTTCCAATTTCTTCAAAATCATAAAGGGAAAATCGATTATAGTAGTAAACACATTTACATTCTGCAGTTTTGGAACAAACCTAATTTTAGTATAATTATATCTTCCATTATTTATTTGATTCATGTTTTATAAAAATTTAAACCGCCGATTAAATATCTCTTCACGACTACCGTTAAAGTGATGTAACTGCGTTGCTGTAATCTTTTGACTTAGGGCTTTTACACAGATGCCAAAAAACAGCTGTTTTTTGGCGGGCCAAATTTCTTTGGCTCTCTGTCATTAAATGATTACCGGTTAATCTTCTCTTTTGTGGTTATCCAAAGAACACTCTACCTCCAAAAATCGACATGTAATCGATTAGTCAAAAAATCGACTTATAAACCCCTAATGTGGACAATTTTTTTTGTACAATAATCGACAGACAAAATCCGACGGAAAATGTTGGAGAAAATACGGAAATAATTTAGCCGGCAAAACAAATAAAAAAGTAAACGTGTATAAAGCAAAAATAGATTTGTCATCAAACAAAAGTGATTTTGGCGTTTTTATCGATCCGCAAAACAATGAGATAATTGTGAAATTCTCAACAAGTGAGCAGCAGCAGCAAACATAAGAAAAAAAGTTCTCAACCCCCTCCCCAAAACTAAATAGAAAAGTGTCACGGCAAATTTTTTCCGCTGCAATATTGGATAAATTAATGATTATACAATTTGTGAGCTTTAAAGGTGATTATCCTATTGAATTATTAATGTTTTCTGTATGAAATGATTTGCATGTAGAAAAGAATGAGAGAAGAAAATGTGTAACCACCCCACCCCACACCTATTTTGTTTTCTACGGCTCGTGATGTGTAGTTTTATGGTGTAGTAAAAAAAGAAGAAAAAACACAATCAAAAACCGCCACCACCGACGACCAACCATCCGACCTTCACGCAACCTTCATTGTCCATCAGTAAATAGCGCTCGAGATAATATGCCTATCTCCGTGCAAATGGACAAAATTGTGGTGTTCACGTGTATTCGGAAGGTTTGTTCCGCTGCTTACTTCTGTGAGATGTTGAGTGTTAGGGCATGGAGATCGCTTTTATCTGTGGGCCTGTGATTACCACCTGGTTGATGTCTTCCAAAGTTTGATGGCGCTTTGTGACAGTATTTCAGTGATTGCCCTCGTAGAGCCTGTTGGCGCTGCTAAGTAACACGAAATAAACAAACTAATTGCTGTTGTCGTTGTTGTTGTTTATATGGGCTCTGCTAGTACAATCAATTTATTGGGAAAATAAACAAAAATCGTAAGCACCCACCAAAAGGAAGTCAGTTGAAACGCGTCTTTTGTCGAATTAACAAGAATTGAAATCTTCTCGGAGGAACTTTAGCATATATTGTGAAATACGTTGTCGTGGTTGTTGATTTGTTGTGTGTTGATTTGTTGTGTGAGTGCTCCAGTATTGTTCCAGCCTTGTGTTAGTACCAAAATTAAATAGTTACGTTCTGTTAAGTGCTTGTTTTTCTTTGCTAATTCCTTGATTTTAAATTTAAGTTATCTCACAATATATCCTATTCTAATTTCATAGCTCTTTCTCCAAGTACTGGGGGTACTCCTCCAGGAAATTGCAAAACTATCAGTCAGCATTATGAATTCTAGTTGAAAACTAAGTTTATAAATTATTTATTTTGCTTACAATCAATAGTTCCAGTAGGGTAGGTGGTATGTGAAATAATAATTTACATACCGGCCTGCATATGTTTAACTTCATTTTAGTATTTGAGTTCAAATGGACAAATTTAATTCCTGTTTTTTCTCTTTTTTTTTGGAGATTCAAACAAAAAGAGATTCAAAAAAAAAAAAAAAAAAATCAAACAAGAAAGGGAGGACCTTTTATTTTCCATTGAAAAGGTATGAAAATCTTATACAAAGTATGTTTATTGTTCGTTTTTGTTTTGAAGGTTTTTTGGAAACCCATTGTTTCCATGATGTCAAAGACACGCACTCATATTTGCAATAACTATGTTGATTATGGCTTAGCCATAGAATTTTGTTATCTCTTGGAGGTACAATAATAATAATTATCTTCCAAATATCGTCCACAATAACAGAAGCAAATGAAAACACACATTTAACTCTATTCCATCTTGGAACAAATTATCAGCAAGGTATACTACTCCTTTTAGGTTTGGAAATGTGACTAGTGCCCTCAAACTTCCTTGAATTGGAGCACTTGGGGTCTTGGTGAGGGTATTATGGCTTTGTGCATTTGTTTGTAACATGGAGAAGGAAGCGAGATAGTTCCATAGTTACTTTAGAGGATTATAGAATCACTTTCGATTTATGCATGTCAGTCCGTCTGTCTATGCATTCATGTGAAAAAATGCAGGTCGCATTTATTATCCGAGTGAAATGAAATTCTCCAAACAATATTTGTTAGGCCCAAAGACGAACCCCATTGAAATTGGTGGTAATCGGTTCAGTTGGATATAGCTCCCATATATATCTCTATCCGATTTCAGTTTTTTTTGTGCACCAAATGCCTAATATCAGTCCAAATGACCTGAATTTTGGTACATCCCACCGAATTCTGTCTAGAAGCAAGTACATTAAATTTGCTGAAAATCGGTTCAGATATAGCTATAGCTCCCATATATATGTTTTATCCGATTTGGGGCTTAAGTCCTTCATATTCGCAATATGCATTCGACAACAGAGATCTTTGGTACCAGATATCAGATACAGTCCAGAAATATCTCTACCAAATTTTATCAAGATCGGTTTAGATTTGCTCCGATACATATCCTTAATCCGATTTCAGGTTTATTGTGTAAATATTGGCCAATATCAGTCCAAAAGTCCTGAATTTTGGCATATTTAACCGAATTTAGTCTAGAAGCAAGTACATCAAATATGGTGAAAATCGGTTCAGATATAGCTATAGCTCCCAAACATATGTTTCATCCGATTTTGTGCTTAAGTCCCTCACATTCGTACTATGCATTCGACAACAATATTTGGTACCAGATATCACATACAGCTCAGAAATATCTCTGCCAAATTTTATCGAAATCGGTTCAGATTAGGGTATAGCTCCCACATAAATCTTTATCCGATTTCAGGGTTTTTTGCACCAAATGGCCAATATCAGTCCAAATGACCTGAATTTTGGGACATCCGACCGAAATTAGTTTATAAGCATGTACATTAGATTTGGAGAAAAGCAGTTCAGATATAGCTATAGTTCCCATATATATGTTCCATCCGATTTGGTGCTTAAGTCCTTCATATTCGCAATATGCATTCGACAACAATGATATTTGGTTCCAGATATCAGATACAGCCCAGAAATATCTCTGCCAAATTTGATCAAGATCGGTTCAGATTTGGATATAGCTCCCATATATATCTCTATCCGATTTCAGGTTTTTTGTGCACCAAATGGCCAATATCAGTCCAAATGACGTGTATTTTGGTACATCCCACAGAATTCAGTCTAGAACAAAGTAAATCAAATTTGGAGGTAATCGGTTCAGATATACCTATAGCTCCCATATATATGTTTCATCCGATTTTGTGCTTAAGTCCCTCACATTTATAATATGTATTCGATAACAATGATATTTGGTACCGGACGTCAGATACTGCTCGAAAATACCTCTGCCAAATTTTATCGAAATCGGTTCAGATTAGAATATAGCTCCCACATAAATCTTTATCCGATTTCAGGTGTTTTTTGCGCACCAAATGACCAATATCAGTCCAAATGACCTGGATTTTGGCACATCCGACCGAATTCAGTCCAGAAGCAAGTATATCAAATTTTATCAAGATCGGTTTAGATTTGGATATAGCTCCCGTTCATATCCTTAATCCGATTTTAGGTTTATTGTGCAAATAATGGCCCATATCAGTCCAAAAGTCCTGAATTTTGGCACAACCGACCGAATTCAGTACAGAAGCAAGTACAATGAATTTGGAGAAAATCGGTTCAGATATAGCTGTAGCTCCCATATATATGTTTCATCCGATTTCAGGTTTATTGTTCAAATAATGGCTAATATCAGCCCAAATGCAGTGAATTTCGGGACGTACGTCTCTATTTTGTGGAACTCGGTTCCTATATATATATTTTTATACCCTCCACCGTACATAGTATGGAGGGTATATTAAGTTCGTCATTTCGTTTGTAACTCATCGAAATAATAATTTTAGACCCAACAAATTCTTCTTGATCAACATACAATTCTGTGTTTTGTCTGCAGGCAGGTCAAGTTCGAAGATGGGCTATATCGGTCCAGGATATCGTATAGCCCCCATATAACGGTACCCCCCGATATTCGGTATTTTTATGATTTTAACCACATTTTTCAACGGAATTGTCTGAAATTCTGCACAAGGAGTTCTTTGTGAGTACTTTACCACCTGGAAGAGAATTATCTATATTGGTCCATGATATCGTATAGCCCCCATGTAACGGTACCCCTCGATATTCGGTATTTTGATGATTTTAGAAACATTTCGCAATGGAATTGTCTGAAATTCTACACAAAGAGTTCTTTGTAAGTACTTTACCCCCTGAAAGGGAATTATCTATATTGGTCCACGATATCGTATATCCCCCATATAACGGTACCTCCCGATATTCTGTATTTTGATTATTTTAGCCACATTTTTAAACGGAATTGAGTTCCTTGTGAGTACTTTACCCCCTGAAAGAGAATTGTCAATATCGTATATCCCCCATATATCGGAATCTTCCGATATGCGGTATTTTTAAGATTTTAAAAGAATTTTTAATGGATTTTTTTTTTTTTGAAAATTTCCTAATTCGTTCCAAATGGTGGAGGGTACTCAAAGTTTTACCCGGCAAATATTACTGCTTTTTTACTTGTTTAATATAATTCTTCTCGGAGTGATATCATGCACTCCATAGCAATGTTATTTGGTATAAAGTTTAAAATATCTCTGTCAAATTTAGTGAAAATAGATTCAGAGTTGGATATGCCTCCCATATATTAGTTGATTTTGAAACCAAATTATAACAGCTCTAAAGACAAATGTTGATAGGTGGTATGTTCTACTTCAAATAAATTCTTTTGTTACGGGAGCTCTACTGACCCCGCCGGACTTTCATCTTACTATCATATTCAACCCTGATATTGCGTAACCCCTATAATATTATTCAGATTGGATTTAGAGCTTTAACCCCGTAATCTTTGAAGATATTTACTTGTTATATGGCTTAAAGCCTTTTCTATTATTTTTCATTGTAAACATATGCTCCGTTTCAGTAACTGGGAGAATCTATAAGTTTTGCAATTTCCTTCGAATTCATAGGTGGAATATCGGTTATGGTTGTCTTTTACATTCTTGCAGGTTTGGAACAAACTGATAGTTTTTTCCTTTATGATGTAAATTGTATAAATGATTGACCTTGGCTAAATTCTAACCCTTGGTTCAGTTGTTTCTTCTCGCTGAACTCGCTATTGTTCATTAACATATTTGCATTGTAATTTCAGTGGTTTAGGATAACTGATAATGCATTGGACATATTCCACAAAAAGTAGCCATAAATTAAGTCACAAATTATATTTAGGAAGGTAGCATCGTTTTATTTTTTGATCTTATCTCTTATCACTTTATTACAATTATCTAAAAATAAATTATTTGCATTGCATTTCTGTCAAAACAGTACTAATTGAACAATGTAGTCTGTTGAACAAATAGACGTGCTCCTATTTGATTGTGTTTACGATAAGCCTGCTTAGACTTTATTATCCGTTTATAATTGCCCCGTGTTGTGCGAGATAACGCAAAGGATAAACATTTTTAGGGGTTAAAACGTAAACACAGAGATCATCAAAAAATTGGCATATAAAAGCTTAAACGTACCTCTATTTATAGAATATTTCATAAAAGGCTTCCTGGAAGCCTGGAAGATATCGTAAAAAGTTTTCCATAGTTAGAACTTTTTTTTTTAATTGCTCGGTCTTAGAAAAAATTTCAATGAAGACTGTCGTTTTACAAAGTCCCTGAAGAATTTTGCACATTTTATGAGCAAATTCTATTGAGTTTTACAATTAAATTCAAAATTAATACAATCCCTAAGCACAACTCATCCAAAAACACGAATAACCTCTTTCTCTTCTTTGCCATGATAAATAGGTGGCTCTATGGACCCCAGTTCTGGATAGAGCGATCTCCAAATTGGAGTATTAGTTAGTAAGGGAGGGTCTTATAAGAAACATTGAAATAGAAAAGAGGAAAAGTGGCTACATAAAATTGGATTGGATGCAGACTCTCGAAGGCAATTTTGCCATCATTAGACTTTGTTAGGTCCTAGGATATTACATTATCTTTCTGAACAAAGACCTTTCTAAGCAAAGATCCAATGAAAAATGGCTAAATGCAAGTGGAGGCAGGTTCCCGAAAGTAATTTGACCTATATCCTACACAAAACGACTAAGTACTCTAGTCTTCTTATCGAAACGGTCCTCCACCATAGTATGGAGGGTATATTAAGATTGTCGTTCTGTTTGTAACACCTCGAAATATACGTTTTAGACCCCACAAAGTATATATATTCTTGATCAGCATAAAATTCTATGGCGATGTCTGTCCGTCTGTCCGTCTGTGGAAATCACTCTAGCTTCCGAATGAAATGAAGTAGTTTGAAAAAATTTTATTCAAGTGTGTATTATGTCTGCAGGACTTTTGGTATTGGAAATGGGTGATGTAGGTTCACATTTTGGTATAGCTCCCTTATAATTGTAGCCCCCTTTTTCGATATTTTGGTGATTTAAGCGACATTATTCACCGGAAATGTTTCAAATTTGATATTTGAAGTTCGTAATGGGTTGTACAGCCTATGACAGAAAATTGTTTGTGCAAGTCCACGTCTTCATATAGCCCCCATATAACAGTACCTCCCGGTAATCGATACTTTGATGATTTTAGCGACATTATTCACCGGAATTGTTCCAAATTTGGTATTTGAAGTTCGAAACAAATGCTACAGCCTATGACAGAAAATTGTCTGTGCAAGTCCACGTCTTCATATAGCCCCCATATAACGGTACCTCCCGATATTCGGTACTTTGATGATTTTAGCGACATTATTCACCGGAATTGTTTCAAATTTGGTATTTGAAGTTCGTAACAAATGCTACAGCCTATGACAGAAAATTGTCTGTGCAGGTCCACGTCATCGTACAGCACCTATATAACGGTACCTCCCTATATTCGGAATTTGGATGATTTTAGCTATGTTATTCACCGAGTTTCGCATTTGTATATTGTAGTTGTTTATGACAAAAGTTGCCTATGCAGGTCCACGTCGTCGTGTAGACCCTAATTTAACTGCTACATTCGGCATTTTTAAGATTTTAATAGAATTTTTGGGGGGTTATAATTAATTGAGATCCGATATATTCAATTTTCAACACCAAACTTCATAATTTTCAACCTACATCTTTAATAGTACGAGTTCTATTGTAAATTGAAATAAATATGTACGCTGATTATGGTCTCTGACGAATATATAGGATATAAAAACTAGGCTCACTTTTGGCACAATAACTCACACACAAACACTCACGAATTTTATTGGATTATTTCAAACTAAAAGCAAATTCTGTAGCACAAAAACTCACATTTTCTGAATTGAATATTAAAAAATATATAATTTACCAAAATAAAACATGAGAAATTAAATATCTTGGCAATGTTTCAGGTTCAAGAAAAAGTAGAAGAAGAAGATTGGAAATGGAACATTAGATACGGAAAATCAACTATTCAAATTGTTGCAACATATCATCGTGCTAAAAAAAGTCTCGAAAAATTTCTTGAGAACTTTTCTGCTTAAAATATTCCCTGGTTTCGATTTGTTGCTGCTCTCAATCATCAATGCCTTAGGAAATGAAAAATCAAAAACATAAATCCTTATTTTCTATATTCTTGCCACACATCACGAGACATTCGAATTCAGTTGTATGTGGTGGTCGTTCTGAGAGGGTGGAGTGGTGAAACATATGCGTGCATTTCATAAACACAGAGAATTGAATAGATTTATTATTGTTCTTGTGATTCATCATCTGATATTAAAACCAATCCACCTACCCATTTATTTTCAGTGGCTTTTTCTTGTTTCTCCTCTCACTATCTCTGATTATAGCAGTAACAAAGCAGAATTCGAAACATAAACTGTCCGCCTTTGAAAAAAGCCCATCTTAAATTTCGAATGAGGAGTCTTCTTTAAGAAGCAAAAGCACACACACCCACACACTCTATACGACCGTTGAAGAAATAGGAAACACAGAACAATGGCATTGAATGGCTTTCTAGAGTTCTTCCAAAAGGGCAAAACATTTCGACCCAAGAAACGCTTTACGGCCGGCACCATACGTTATTCCCTGCACAAGCAAGCCCAGGCCAGTCTTCAATCGGGTATTAATTTGCGCCAAGCTGTCTGTCTGCCGGAAGGTGAAAATCTCAACGATTGGATTGCCGTGCATGTTGTTGATTTTTTCAATCGCATCAATCTCATATATGGTACCGTTTCGGAATATTGTAACGAGACCACATGTCCCACAATGAGTGGCGGGTCACGTTACGAATATCTGTGGGCCGATTCGGAGAATTATAAGAAACCCACATCGCTGCCAGCACCCAAATATATAGAATTACTAATGGATTGGGCCGAGGCACAGATCAACAACGAAACCGTATTTCCCGTATCTACAGATGTACCATTTCCAAAAACATTTCCAGCCCTCAGTCGAAAGATCTTGACGCGATTATTTCGAGTGTTTGTGCATGTGTACATACATCATTTCGATCGGATTGTTAGCATTGGAGCTGAGGCGCATGTTAACACCTGCTACAAGCATTTTTATTATTTTGTACAAGAATTCGATTTGATAACAAGCAAAGAATTGGAACCGCTGCATGAAATGTCTGCCAAAATATGTAAAGATTAAGTGAGAGGTGAGAAATGAGAAATGAAGGGTTCCGTAAATAATGTGAAAGGATGCCAGCCAAAAAAAAAAAAAAAACGAAACAAAGCTACACAACCTAAACACGCACACTTACCTCACCTCACCAAAAAAACACACATAGACTCATAGAAACCAAGAATCTCCAAAATGTTTTGAATATTGTTCCAATTAAGAGAAATTAAGCAGGAAAAAAGAAAAGAAATGTAATAAAGTATTAAATACACTAAACCATGTGCGTATTTATGGGTTTTCTATTGAATGAGAGTGCTGAAGAAGAAGAATTTGCTTTTTTTATTAAAATATTGTCTAGAAGACATATACAGGGTGAAATAAAAAACTGCAATAAAGTCAGACGCCATCATTTCTACATTGTTTTTTAATTTCTTTGAATGAAATCAAAAATATGTCGGAAATAGCATCAAATTTTAGAATAAGTTTAAATATCAAACGGCCAATGAAACCGTCACACGCTGCCCGAATGTTGCTCAGCGGTATTGCTGTTTGGCCCATTCCCGGCGTAGCGCTTGCTTGAGGTGATCTACACTTTGGTATTTTTTTTTTTTGTGTCAACCTCGCTTTTCAAAATACACCAGACACAATAGTCCAACCGATTGGTATCCGGAGATTTTGGTGGTCATAGTGCGCTGGAAATGAAACGAGGAACCTCATTTGGTAACCATTCTAGGGTGGCGGTGGCGTGCTGAGTGTGATTGTGCTGAGTCCTGTTGGAATGTCCAATTTTTGCGGCCAAAATGTTTGCGTGCCCAAGGCTTTATTACGCCCTCCAGAATATTTTCGCGATAATATTCGGCATTTATTTTGATGCCACGATCGATTAATACGAACGGAGAGCGACCATCGGCTGTTATGGCGGCCCATACCATCACCATGGCCGGCGCTCGGCGCTTGAGTTCTGGTGGCCAACCCAAGGTGCACATTTTTAGTTGACCTCTTTGGAAAGTAAACACGATCATTTTATTTGTTTTCTCATCGGAGAAAACCAAATTTGGCAGTTCACCACTTTCGGCCAAGCGAAGCAACTCTTTAGCTCTTTTAAATCTTTTTTCTTTCTGTTGCGGTGTAAGTTCAAGCACTTTTTTGGAATTTCAATGGCTTTACCCCGAGCTCGTTTTTCAATATTTGCCGAATGGAATATTGCGATATGTTCAGCTCACGGGAAATTTTTAGGCCACTGCGATGCGGGTTTCGATCAAGTCGGTAACCATTTCTGCTGATGTTGCTGTTTTCTTCCGTCCACTTCCTTGACGTCGGTCTACGCCGCCAGTATCACGGTAACGAGCGATGGTACGAGACACAAAAGATTCATTCACATTTAAATGCTGAAGTGCTCTAACGATAGCCACTCATGGTTTTCCAGCCAAATATAAAGAAATCACACTATCACGCTTGAATTCCATCATGAATAACTTTTTTTCTGGAAAATTCTCACCAAAATGCTTTTGTACGCTTGTAAGCAATATAATGAGCTGCCACTGGAATAAATGACAGCATTCTAAAATTGGTTGCAGTTTTTTCATCTTACCCTGTATATCATCTTCACAACAGTTCTTGAGTTAGCAAAAATATTTGGATGTGTGAAATTTGAGGAGAGTTGGATGCTCATTCCGTATTCTTTGAGCATTTTGTTTTTCAAAAATATTGAACCTTATGTGGAGGATGTACCAGAAGGAATGGCCCGATCACTGTCATCTTTATAACAGATCTTGTGTTGATAGAAATATTGAGATGTACCAAGTCTGAACGGAATCGGATATTAATTTCGCGTTTTATGAGCTTCATGAATACTCAAAATTTTGACCCTTTGAGGGGGAGGTACCAGAAGGAGTGGACCAATATATCCCATCTTCACAGCTGATCTTGTGTTAGGAGAAATAATGGGATGTGTGAAATATGAATATAACAGGATGCTTATTTTGGAATTTATGACCAAACATGTTATTCAAAACTTTCACCCTTTGTGGGGGAGGTACCAGAAGGAATGGTCTGATCTATCCCACCGATGTATCCCATCTTTACACCAGATCTTGTGCTAATAAAAATATTGTGATTTGTGTAGTTTGGAGATAATAGGGATCTTGTATCACATTTTATAAGAGTTATAATTATTCAAAATGTTGACCCTTTGTGCGGGAGGTACATGATAGAGTGCACTGATATTGTCCATTTTCGCACCTGACGTATCACTGATGCAAATATTGGTATTTGCAAAGTTCAATCAAAATCGGATTATCCTTTCTCTTTCAGTGCAGTAAATTATTTTATTTGAAAATGTACTCCAAATGTCCTTAAACGGATTTGGTCCAAAGAGACCTGGGGTCTAAAACCGGACGTATCAAGTGATATATACCCTATACTAGCGATATGACCATTGATACTAATTTTGTTATAATATAAAAAATACCATACCACTTACTCACTTAGCCAGTTTATATCGGCCGGTCGTCGTTATGACACACATTTCAATATGAGTTCAACTAAAAAGAGATGATTTAATAACCCCCAACCCAATGGGGGAACATACCCACATTCTCTCGCGTACGTGCAAAACGAATGTACAACTATTCCGTATTATTTTTTTTTTAAACAAAGAGGAGAAGTATACATTGGCGTAATATGAATCACTTATGTCTGACCTATGACAATATTGAATCTTTTGTTCTTGTCGTTGCCATTCTGTTTGGGCGGTAATTTTAAGAATAAAATTTTTAGAAAAAAATAAATAATAATAAAAAATAAGAATTGGTTTAGGGTTTTTGGAAAAGTAGAAGTGTATGTATGGATCAGCTTTTTCTAAGACTCGTAGGACCGACCTGTCCATAAAATATCTGAGAATCTCTATCAGTTATCAGTCATAAAACTATCATGAAATAACAGTGAATATTCACGTGGAGGTATGAAAAGTTAATGTGGCTAAATTAGTTCTAATCTCCATTTTTTATAACAATTTAAAGACTTTATTTTTATCTTTGTTCAGAAAATAAGCCAGACGTCTGTTGGACATAGGAAATTTTTGACGCTTCATAATAATCAACAAAAAGATAAACTGCAAATCAAATTTATGGGAAGTGCCGGGATGTTGCTATGTAATGTGCCCTGAAACAAGTAAAATAGTATCAGACGGTTTTGCCGACAGATGTATACTCCCAGCCTTGAGTTATGATTATTCAAACTGTTGATCCTTTATGGGGGAGGTTCCGAAGCTGTTGGCCAATATTGACCAATTCGTATGCGACCTAGGATTGATATAAATATTAAAACGTGCCATATTTGGACTAAATGTGGAAAATATGGAAATATGCGTGAGGTAACAGATAGAGCGGACCAAAGTATTCTATATTCATACTTCATCTAAATGAGATAAACAATATTGGTATGCGCAAAATTTGAAGGAAATCGAACATTTATATCCAATTTTATGCGAAATCATAAATTACGATTGATTACATATTCATCTCAGTTTTGGTTAAGAGAAATATTTAAATATAGCATGTTGTAAAGAATCGCCGACTTGTTTCGCAAGTTATTACATATAAACGAATTGAATAATATTACGATGCACCTAGTTTGGACCAAAACGGTTATTCTATTCGAGAGTTATCGTGCGTACCAGCCAGACAGAGAGACGGACGAACGGACTTCGCTAGATCGACTCCAAATGTCCTGAAACGGATTTACTCCAAAGAGACCTAGGGCATAAAATCGTTATTTCGATGAGGCACGTTTTGGCCGTAACAAATGATATATACGCTCTCTAGCCATATGGCTGAGGGTATAAAAATTGTGTCAAACTTAACAAATTGTGAATTATGTGTACTTGCACTTGCTAGTGGGTCATATGGGTCCACGTTATTGTGTAACGTTTTTATTTCAATTTACCTCGCGATATTCAGAGATTTGAAGATTGAATTTTTTGTCAGAATTATTTAAAATTCAGTATTAAAGTTTGGTAATGGGCTCTACCTCCTGTTGCAGAAAATTTTCGATATATATTTTTTTCTATAGCCCCCATATAACCCATAATCTGATGATTTTTTCTTTATTTCTTGACCTAAAGGAAACTTTTGTGTCAAAGAAGTGAGTATTTTTGGGTCATTTTAGGGGAGAGGACGATGCTCGCCAAGGTATATTCTTGTAAATACTTGGTACCTAATCTATATAGTCAGTACCCTGACTGCGAACCTTTATCACTGATGGGCACTTGGTCCCAAAACACTTCAGTATTGCCGGTCTACATTTAAAATCATTTCCTTCCAGATTCTTTTTATACCCTCCACCACATTATGGAGGGTATATTAAGTTTGTCACTCCGTTTGTAGCACCTCGAAATATACATTTTAGACCTCACAAAGTATATATATTCTTGATCAGCATAACATTCTATGTTGATTTAGCGATGCCCGTCCGTTTGTGGAAATAACTCTAGCTTCCGAACGAAATGAAGTAGGTTTATAAAATTTTACTCAAATGTATATTATGTCTGTAGGACTTTTGGTATTGAAAATGGGTCATATAGGTCCACGTTTTGTTATAGCCCCCAATTTAATGATCCTCCCTTTTTTGGTATTTTGACGATTTTAGCTACATTATTCACCGAAAATGTTTCAAATTTGGTATTTGAAGTTCGTGATGGATACTACAGCCTAAGACAGAATGTTGTTTGTGCAGGTCCACGTCTTCGTATAGCCCCCATATAACGGTACCCCCCGATATTCGTTATTTTGACGATTTTAGCGACATTATTCAGCGGAATTGTTTCAAATTTGGTGTTTGAAGTCCGTAATGAATACTACAGCCTAAGACAAAAAATTGCCTGTGCAGGTTCACGTTTTGGTATATCTCCCATATAATGGTACCTCCCTATATTCGGTATTTTGATGATTTTAGCTACATTATTCACCGGAATTCTTTCAAATTTGAAATTGAAGTTTGTAATGAATACAGAAAATTGCCTGTGCAGGTTCACGTTACGCTCCGTATTTTTAAGATTTTTACAGAATTTTTAACGAATTTTATTTTTTTTTTTTTCAAAATTGTCAAATTCTTTTCAAATGGTGGAGGGTATTCAACAGCTTTTTTACTTGTTTTTTTTACTAGATCCGCTGATTGTCCATGAGAAAATTCTATTATACTTTCTACAGATAAAAGACCCTCTCTATACAGATCTTTTAGGTATATCCCACTTATCAAGAGTCCCCTGTATTATAATTACCATTGTCCACAGTCAAAGCTTGTATCAGCTGCTGTCGCTGTTGTTGTAGAATTCTAATCTGTCGGTTGTTTCGATTGGTTTTGCAAAAACAAAAAGAAACATTTCGCTCGTTTTGAAGTGAGTTTCGTTTTGTAAAAAAGAAAGAGAAAGATCTGTCGTCGATCTGTCCGGCTGACGGCGATGTTTGAATACTTTTTTTTTGTGTTTTTTTTTTCATGCCTCGAGAGTTTGCGGGTCGCGGTGACATTGAAGCGAATATAAAACTGTATTGAAATATAAAATCAGTTAGCGATCGTATGCTGAACTGGAACGTTGTGGCGGTCAATTGGGTGGGTTAGTCGGTTGGTTGGTTGTCTGGCTGGTGTGCTTGACAATTTTGTGCGTTAACGTAGTCTTCGTCCATTATTCAATGAAATATTGGCTTCGTTTTAATTAAATTGTTTGTGTTTCAATCGAAAAAAAATGAATATTGTTTTTGTTGTGAATTGAATTAAAAAGTGAATTTTACGTATCACACCACCTCTCCCCCCATTCTGTTTCTTTTCTTTTTTAAATTTCTTTATAGAATATTGGAATTTTTATTATAGAATAAAAAATAAAATGTTTGAAAAAGAAAAGAATTTTAGTAAATAAAACATAATCTTTAAATTTCTTTTTTTTAATTTAGAATACAACAATAACAACAAAAATATATATGCAAAAAAAGAATATTGAATAAAATAGAGATTTTCTCGACGCCAGTGTGTAAAATTTCATTATCACATCCAAACTAGACAACAATAATAATAATTGAGTGAGTGAGTGTGTCGCTGGGTGTCGTCAACAACATGAGTGACCGTGAATTAAGTTGCACCAATACGGCGGGACAATTTATGGATCGTGGCCGCATGAATCAGAATGGTGTCGTCCAGCCGTTGTTAACAGGTAAGTTTTTTGGTTTTTCTTTTATTTGTGTTTTATTTAAGAAAGATAAGAATTCGATTTTCTTCAGACAGCATAGGCATAGGGTAGTTCATAAAATGCTTAATATTTGAAATGGTATTTATTTGAAGTTGAGAATTTCTATAGGAATTGACACCAATAATTGCAAAAAATATCGTTGTTTACTGACAGTTCTCAAATATTTCTGAGGATGCCAAGCTTGAATATATAGTTTTTATACCCTCTACCATACATAGTATGGAGGGTATATTAAGTTCGTCAATCCGTTCGAAATAATTATTTTCAGTCTTTTGTCTGCAGGCAAGTCAAGTTCGAAGGTGGGCTATATTGGTTCACGATATCACATATCCCCCATAAAACGGTATCTCCTGATATTCGACATTTTCATGATTCTAGCCACAATTTTCAATGGAATTGTCTCAAAATCCACGCCATGAGTTCCTTCTGAGTACTTTACACCCTGAAAGAAAAAATTCCACGATATCGTATATCCCCTATCTAACGGTACCCCCGATTTTCGGTATTTTGATGATTCTAACGACATTTTTGATCGGAATTGTTTCAAATTTCGCATTTAGAGTTTGAAATTCGTATTCAGTGTTACAATCCATGATGGAAAATTGTCTGAGAGGTTCACGCCTTAGTATAGCCCACATATAACGGTACCTCCTTTATTCGGTATTTTGATGATATTAGCTACGTTATTCAATGGAATTGTTTCAAATTACGTATTTGAAGTTCGGAATCGGTACTGCAACCTATGACAAAAAAAAAAAAAAAAATATACTTATACAGGTTGACGCCCTCATATAACGGTTTTCATTTAATGGATTTTTTGTTGAAATTCTTCAAGTTCTTTCGAAATGGTGGATGTAATTAAAAGTTCGGTTCGGCCGCTTTTTTATTTGTTCAAAATCATAAATTGCTAGATGTAAAACAGCCGTTCTACAATCGATGAGATTTTTTGGACAATTATTGACAAAAATTTCTTCAGAGGAAGAAAATGTTGTTTTTTTGAAAATATTTTTTTAAAGAACATAATTCCTGGAAAAGAAATAAGAATTTCCAAAAATTGGTGATCGGCATAATTTTATAGAAGAAATTTTTATTAACCCTATCTTGTTCTTAATCTAGTTACCCAGAAGATTTTCAATAAATACATTTTAACGAGAAGAGTTTCTTTGGGAAAAACAGTTATCGAAGATATATTTGTTATCGTTTAAAGTTTATATAGTAAAAAAGATGGCAGTTTTTATATAGCGACAAGATTTTCTGTACAAAATCTTTTTTAAATCATTCTTAATAAGAACAAATGGTTATGGAAAGAAAATCTTGTTATCGGCTAAATTCTCTTTAGGAAAACTTGTTATCGACAATGTTTTCTATAGAAAAGCTTTTCATCGATAACATTTTCTACAGAAAAACTTATTATCGATTAGATTTTCTATTGAAAAACTTAATATCGAAAAGATTTTCCATAGAAAAACACTTATTATCGATATGATTTTCTGTAGAAAAACTTATTATCGATATGATTTTCTGTAGAAAAGCTTATTATCGGTAAGATTTTTTATAGAAAAACTTATTATCGATAAGATTTTCCATAGAAAAACTTATTATCAACAAGATTTTCTATAGAAAAACTTGTTATCGACCAGATTTTCTATAGAAACACTTGTTATCGACAAGATTTTCTATAGAAAAGCTTGTTATCGACAATGTTTTCTATAGAAAAGCTTTTCATCGATAAAATTTTCTATAGAAAAACTTATTATCGATAAAATTTTCTATAGAAAAACTTGTTATCGATAAGATTTTCTATAGAAAAACTTGTTATCGACAAGATTTTCTATAGAAAAACTTGTTATCGACAAGATTTTCTATAGAAAAACTTGTTATCGACAAGATTTTCTATAGAAAAACTTGTTATCGACAAGATTTTCTATAGAAAAACTTGTTATCGACAAGATTTTCTATAGAAAAACTTGTTATCGACAAGATTTTCTATAGAAAAACTTGTTATCGACAAGATTTTCTATAGAAAAACTTGTTATCGACAAGATTTTCTATAGAAAAACTTGTTATCGACAAGATTTTCTATAGAAAAACTTGTTATCGACAAGATTTTCTATAGAAAAACTTGTTATCGACAAGATTTTCAATAGATACACTTGTTATCGACAAGATTTTATATAGAAACGCTTGTTATCGGCAATATTTTCTATAGAAAAAACTGTAATCGATAAGATTTTCTATAGAAACACTTGTTATCGCCAATATTTTCTATAGAAAAACCTGTAATCGACAAGATTTTCTATAGAAAAACTTGTTATCGACAAGATTTTCTATAGAGACAATAGTTATCGACAAGATTTCTATAGAAAAACTTGTTATCAACAAGATTTCTATAGAAAAACTTGTTATCAACAAGATTTCTATAGAAAAACTTTTTATCGACAGAATTTTCTATTGAAAAACTTGTTATTTATTGCCCAGATGTTCTCGACTTGTTATAGATCAGATTTTCTATAGAAAAACTTGTTATCGACAAGATTTTCTATAGAAGCACTTGTTATCGACAAGATTTTCTATAGAAACACTTGTTATCGACAAGATTTTCTATAGAAACACTTGTTATCGACAAGATTTTCTATAGAAAAACTTGTTATCGACAAGATTTTCTATAGAAAAACTTGTTATCGACAAGATTTTCTATAGAAAAACTTGTTATCGACAAGATTTTCTATAGAAAAACTTGTTATCGACAAGATTTTCTATAGAAAAACTTGTTATCGACAAGATTTTCTATAGAAAAACTTGTTATCGACAAGATTTTCTATAGAAAAACTTGTTATCGACAAGATTTCTATAGAAAAACTTGTTATCGACAAGATTTTCTATAGAAAAACTTGTTATCGACAAGATTTTCTAAAGAAAAACTTGTTATCGACAAGATTTTCTAAAGAAAAACTTGTTATCGACAAGATTTTCTATAGAAAAACTTGTTATGGATAACATTTTTCATAGAAAAACTTATTATCGATAAGATTTTCCATAGAAAGACTTGTTATCGACAAGATTTTCTATAGAAAAACTTGTTATCGACAAGATTTTCTAAAGAAAAACTTGTTATCGACAAGATTTTCTGAAGAAAAACTACTTATCGACTCGATTTTCTATAAAAAATTAGTAATATATAGGATTTTCTATAGAAAAACCGGTTATCGATAAGATTTCTGTAGAAAATCGGGTTGTCAATAAGATTTTTTCGTAGAAAAATTAGTTATCGATAAGATTTTCTATAGGAAAGCTTTTGTATAGGAAACATTTTTATTTGCAAAATTTTCTAAAGAAAAACATTTTATCGACTAATATTTCAATAAAAAAACTCGTTATCGAGATTTGTTATAGAAATAATTTGTATCCACGAGATTTTCTATAAAAAAAACCCGGTTATCGACAACAAATTTCTAAGAAATTTCTAATGAAAACGTATTATTTCCTTAGGAAAAATTGTTATCGAAAATATATTTATAGAAAAGCAGGTTATTGGCATTATTTTCTATTGAAAAATTTGGTATAAACAAGACTTTTCTTGATATCGGTGAAAATAATATAATAATAATAGTATAATAATATAACCTTTATATATCGGCAATATTTACCATGAAAAAACTTTTTAGGGAAAAGAAAAAATATGTTTTTGAAAAATGTTTTTTAGAAGAAATACATGTTACCGACCAGATTATCTGTTAAAAAATCTTGTTATCGACAAGATTTGGAACTTTTTAATCACTTTTATGACAAACAGATATCCGATAAAACTCGCTGTTGTTGCTTAGCAAATGCATTTTTAGTTTTGTTGTTTGGGTAAACATTTGCTTGCCTAATGCCGCTCGCATAATAAAATATTTATAAATTTGTTTTTGGTTGTTTTTGTAGTCGCTGTAGCTTATATTTTGCACATGCATAAATTTATGTTTATTTCTATGCATATACAAGAAAAAAATGTTTAAAAAAGCATTCAATATGTGCAAACGGACATTGAACATTTTCAAAATTTTCAAACAATGTATCGTTATATATAGGATTTAAAAAAATAACAAACATAGATACATACCAAATAAACAGAAGTAATCTTAGATTTTTTTCTTTTTCATAAAAATTAACAAAACAGAGATAATTTTTGTTTTTGGTTTATTATTTTGTCTGCTTTTAATTGTTAATTTAAATTTACGGGCGGGCAATGCCCTTAACATGTGTTTATATTGGGTGTTTTATTAATCAAATGCGAATGGGCAAGTTATGGGGTGTGTATTTTTGAATAGATTAATTTGACACATTTGACAATTTTTAAGCATCAGTTAACAAAAATAACATCTTAAAAGAAAAAAATGACTTTTAATAAAAAAATATGTTATCGACATACTATCGTCTAAATCTTCTGAAGAATATGGAAAAGGAAATATAGATGTTCCATAGGAAAACTTGTTATCGCTGTGATGTTCTATACACATTTTTGTAATCGGTACGATTTCCTTGTTATCGGTAGGATTGACTATAGAAAACTCTGTTATCAAAAGGTTTTTCTACCAAAAAACTTGTAATTTGTAAGATTTTCTGTAGAGACAAGTGTTATCGGTAAGACTTTCTGTAGAAAAAATTGTTGTAGGTAAGATTATCTGTAAAAAAAATTTTATCGAAAAGGTTTATCATGAAAAAGCTGGTAAGATTTATTGTGGAAAAACTTATCGGTAAGATTTTCTATGGAAAACATGACAAATTTGTTTGAAAAGATGTTTTAATTTTTTATAAAAATTTTGGTATCGGTAAGATTTTATACAAAAAAATATCAGTAAGATATTGAATAGAAATGTTGTTATTGGCAAAGTTTTCTATAAAAAAATTGTTATCGGAAAGATTTTGTGTCATAATGTTGTTATTGTTATGATTTTCTTTACAAAAAATTGTTATTGGCAAGA